ATGTGCATCCACAGATACAAACTCAAAAAAAAAAGCAAATAATTAAATTATGTAGAAACAACAACAAAAATGGTGTCTGGCTCGTGAGGACTATTACCCTAGTTGTCCTCTAAGCTCCACACACATGTTCACATTCACACAAACACTAATAAATAATATAATTTTAAATCTGAAAAAATAAGATTGAAAGTAGTATAAGATATATAGAGACATATGGAAAATGCATATTCAAAAATTTTAGTTATGCATTCAGACAAATTTTAGAGACCACGACTCTTGAAACTGTGCCTCTCCCACGTTTTCATGACCAGGTGGCAGTGGGGAGAAGGTAAACCCAAGAAACATTTACATGAAGAGGAATACAGCCTATTTAAACACTAGCAGAATAGTCTAGATAGCAGTTTATGTTTATTGCTGTAATAAGAGGGGCAAGGTGGCTCAGTGGGCAAAGGCATTTGCTGCTAAACTTGATGGTCTGAGCTTGATCCCTGGTCCCACATGGCGGCAGGAGAAAAGTGACTGATAGTGCATACCTGTAATCCCAATGAGAATAAGAAGTTCAAAGCCAGCCTGGGATACATGAAACCATGTCCTTTAAAAAAAAAAAAAGAGGGATCTAAAAGCTCTTTAGGGTCTGAAAAGATGGCTCAGCAGTTAAGAGTACTGACTGTTCTTCGTGGGTTCTCATATGGCAGTTCACAACCTGCTCTAACTTCAGGTTCAGATCCTACACTCTCTCTGGTCTCTGAGGACATTACTTGCATGTGGTACACATACACAGTATGTACACATGCAGGCAAACACTTGTACACAGAGGATAAAATTCTTAGAAACCTCTTTATGTGTCTTGAGTTTCTATTGATAACTATGTAGTATATTTGCTGATTCACTAGCCCAGAACTCTCTAATAGGGGTTTTTAAGAGTTTTATCCAAAATTTTCTTCTAGGAAATAAGACGAAGTTTGAGCGTTAGCTATAGAGAGACTCGGTTTCAACCTGGGCATGGTGCTGCACACTTTATCCCAGCAGGGCAAGGCAAGCCCAACTTCACAGCAAGACCTTGTAGCAAAAAGGGTGGGGCATGGGCACTGCGATCTCCAAAGGGGAAGTGAGGGCATTCAGTGGGTAAAGCTACTACTGCAAGTCTGACCACTGACCACTTGAGTCCTGTTCTCAGATCCTCTGTGGTGACAAGAGAGAGTTGGCTCCAGCAGGATATCCTGTGACTTCCGCATGCGCACATGCCCACACACCCAAGGAAGGAGAACAGTTTTAATAAAGTAAAGGAATAACAAGAATAGGAAAATTCACAAAGAAAAATTAATGGCTTTCTAGGGCTAGAGGGTTCAGGAGGAAGGAAAAGAGCCTGCTAACTGGAACGGGGTTTTCGTGGGTAGGTGGTAATGTGTTCTAAAATCTCTGGGCATGTTGGCACATGCCTTTTATCTCACTCAGGAGGCAGAGGTAAGTGGATCTCAAATGGATTCAAGGCCAGCCTGGGCCACACAGTGAGTGAGATCCTTGCCTCAAAAACAAAGAAAAAAGAAGAAAATGTTCTAAAATCTTGGTGATAGATGTACATAGCCTTGTGGATATACCAAGCCTCAATGAACCATATACTTTAATTGTACTAATCATGTGGTTTGTGAATTATATCATTGTTGTAGAATATTATTTTAAAATGTGTTACATTTGTTTATGCTGTGGAACATTTGTTTAATGATGCAAAGATATCCTTCATTCCTTTGTGTTGTGTTTGTTTAACTCTGTGAAGCTGTGTTACTGTGTTACTCTGCCTAAAACTCTTGAGTGGTCTAATAAAAAGCTGAACTGCCAATAGCAAAGCAGGAGAAAGGATAGGTGGGGCTGGCAGGCCGAGAGAATAAATAGAAAGAAAAAAAGAAGATCAGAGAGCAAAAAAGGGAAGAGTCACCCAGCTACGCAGCAACCCAGCGGCAAAAGATAGACAGGATAATTTAAGTTAAGAAAAGCTGACTAGAAATAAGCCAAGCTAAGGCTGGGCATTCATAAGAAAGAATAAGACTCTGTGTGATTTATTTGGAAGCTGGGTGGTGGACCCCAAAGAGTCAAAAGAGTAAGAGTAAAAAACAACCAACCACATATCTCAAACACAGTGGCAAAAATACTGCACAATACAGCATTACTGTAGGGATTTGGGTATAAACCATGGAACCTGGTAGACAATTGGAAGCCTTAGAAGGCAATTAGTGGAGCCGAGGGGTGGGAGCAATGCCTAGCACTCATCACAGGCACCAACCTAGCCACCCAGGCAACACTACTGAGACACGTGACTCTGGTAGGCTCTCCTCTCCACTCTGCCTCTTATGATCACAGGCTGTGACTACATTTTACCTCTCCAGCCAGGGAAAGAGAGGCCTTCCAGTGAGGCTGGGCAGCCCTTGAAAGCAAAGCCCGTCACCTCCTTTCTATGTAAGCATCCAGCAGCCGATCTGGAACCTACATGTTTTGTCCTATTCATCTCAAGAGTTCCTGCCAGGGTAGCTATTGGGTGGGAGAACTGGGGCATGTGCTGAGTTTCTTAAACTGGCGGGGCAGGACCGCGCTAGGCTGTGTGTAGATGGAGAGAAACAGGGAGAAGGCTGTCAAGGGACACCCCAGGGTGCAGAACAGAGGTCACAAAACAGGTTAATAAGGTGCAAATTCCATCTAGAATTCCATTTTTGCTTCTCCTCCCCATCCCAGCTGCCCCTGCCTCCTAAAACTTTGTGAACTGCTCACTCAGAATGGGTTGCCACATCACCAGACTGCAGGCAAAAAGTGTGGGTTGGTTAGCAAAAGGACTTCCCCACCCACTTCCTCCCAGTTTCCTCCTTCACCAAAGCCCTTTATAGGAAAAGGGAAGGGTTGTTCTCCATCCCCATCTGCCCACAGAGATTACATCAGCAGTCCCACTGTCTCATCAGTCCCCCAGTGAGGCTTCGGGAAATTAATAGGACACCTGATCACTCCGATGATAACATTATTTTTAGTGTTCAGAAACTGAGGGTCAGAGGTCGCAGCCTACAGACATACAAGTCTTTATAATCTGGGTTTACAATCACATGTAAAAATGTTTTAAATTGTTTCATTTCTTGAAATTGTGTTGACCACTTGCTCTGCCTGGCAAATACAATGGAATAAGTACAAGGTAACGCAAAAGGGATAGTTTGGGATTTTTGTTTGTTTTGGTAATTTTACCTAGATTGTCACCATTTCAGAAAAGCATCATAGAGTCAATAGAATCAGAGCTGGGGCTCAAAGCAGTACAGCAAAGTGTGGTGCCAGAGAAGCTGTACACACACACACACACACACAAGCCAGGTTTACTGCTCAAGGTTTAATCTGTGGACACAGGACTTAGGTACAGGAAGTTGGAAATATAGTCCTTCTTGGCACCCTAAGGTGCCAAAAAAGTTCCAAAGGACAGGTAGCAAGGGTTCACCCCTCTACCTACAGCCCTGGGGTTATTTTCAATGTAACAAGGGTATTTTTAAGGTGTCTTGTGGGGATCTGGAGAAATGGTTCAGCAGTTTCAAGCATAGTTTGGTTGTCAGCACCTAAGTCTGTAATTCCAGTCCCAGCCTCTGGCCTCCAAAGGGACTAGCCTTCATACACACACACACACACACACACACACACACACACACACACACAAAAAACCATGATCAAGTTTCTTTGTAAGGTCTCTTGGTGGAGACTGGGGTTCTTTGTCCCAGGTCCCTCTCCCAGGTTCTTCTTGAGCTCTTGGCTGCTGAAAGAAGCAGCCTTTGGAAGTGCTAGCCCAGTCTCCTTTCCTTCGGCTGGGTTCCCAGCTGCCACTGATGTCTTGTGATGTCTAGGCAAAGGAAGAGCTTCCCATGAAGCCCCGCTACCCTGCTTAAGCCCAGCAGTAGTACAACCATCTTCAGTTCTACTGAAACTTGACTAACCAAGCAAGATTAAACAGAGTCTGAAAATCCAACACTATACATAGTACTCCAAGGAACTTTGTCCCATATTGTTGTCTTCTGGGCCCATTTACCTCCCATAAAAACCATTAGTGGGGGTGTGGAAGATGCCTCAGCCTTTAGGCCTTAGGACCTGACTGCAACCCTCAGTACTCATGTAAAAGCTGGGAGTAGTGATATTGCCTATCATCTCAGTGGACACTGAGGATCCCTGTCTTAGTTATGGTTTCTATTGCTGTGAAGAGACCCCATGACCACGGCAACTCTTAGGAAGGAAAACATTTACTTGGTACTGGCTTACTGTTAAAAGATTTAGTCCATTGTCATCATGGCGGGAGCATGGCAGCATGTAGGCATAGCTGATGCTGAAGAGTACCTGAGAATTCTACATCTGGATCTGTAGGCAGCAGAAAGAGATGAAGGCATACTTCCTCCAACAACACCGCACTAACTCCAACTAGGCCACACCTAATAGTGCCAGTTCCTAGGAGCCTATGGGGGCCATTTTCTTTCAAAACACCACAATCCCTAAGGCTTGCTGGCCAGCTAAATCTCCAAATTTGAGGTTCCACAGAGACTCTGTCTCAAAATATAAGGTGGCAAATAATAGCAATTGAGGAAGACATCCAACAACAAACATCCATATACACGCATGCACACACAAACATATTCATACAAAAAATTAATTGAAAGGCTTAGTAGTTAAAAGTACTGGCTTTTCTTCCAGAGGACCCAGGGTTTAGTCCCCAGCACCCACATGGTAGCTCACATTCATCTATAACTCTAGTTCCAGGGGATCTAACATCCTCTTCTGAACTTCCTGGGCATGCATGAAGTGTACATATGTACACTTTAATATACATATATGTACACGTATCATATACATAAAAATAAATGAATATTTCTAAATCTGAAATAATAACAATTGAATGAACAAATGAATAAGCTTACTATTAATAACTACTCCACTTTTGGGTTATGGTGACTATTAAACTAGTAATTAATTGTTATAACAAAATACTTGACACAAGCTACTTAATAAGATTTATTTAACTTATAGTTTTGAAATTTCAAAATTAAACGATTAGTACAGATTCTATGCCAGAGGTTCCTCCTTCCTCATACCAATAGCAATGGGTAAAATGCATCAGGAGTGAGCAAGTGATTACACGTTAGACCAGCAGAAGGGACAGAAGGTTTGCTGCCTTTCTAACAGTCTTTTCAGAGCTCAGAAAGACCTCCATCCTCTGGGAGCACCACAGGACCTCCCACTAGACCCCACCTCTTAAAGGGCCAGCCACAAAGGGATACGGCTAAACTGTATCAGAATGTCATAGAACTTTTGTTGTATTAGGATTCAAACTTCGTTCTAAATTGATTAGCCTTCCCACTTTGACATTAGCCCTTAGAAACTGAACTGGTAGTGTGACTTTCAGACTGAGTGTGCTGAAGGCCCAACAGAATTTCACAGGAAACCAGTAGCCACTGATGCCCCGCCCACATCCGGCAGTAAGAGCCAGTCTTCGGTTTCTGCATGCCAGTACCTGCACACCAAGGTATCTGGGCTTTCATCCTATCACGTAGCCCTGTAGAACCAGTAAAGGCTAGTCCACATTGCCAAGACAAACTTTAAGGTGTGGATTTCGCTTTAGAGCAGCACTTCTGAACTCCCTACTCCCCTCAGTTTCTTCCTGGTCCCTGTCACCAACCTCTCCTATTGGTTTGCTTTGGAGCCCTTTCTTAGTTATATTCCTCTAGACCCCAAGTTCAGGACCTGCTTCTGCGAGACCCTCTTCAGACACTCACTGGCTCTCCAGGGGATATAAAGCCACATGCACCCAGCAGACATTTAGGGTTACCTAGAAACCACTCCACGTAACACTCTAACAATGTCTAGCAAACGTCCTTTTTTTCTTCTCTCTCTTTTATTTTCGAGTAAAAATAATAAAGAGGAAGTAACCCATGGGGTTGGGGGAGAGGATGGCTAAACACAATGGCAGACTTCAGTCAGGTCTGTGTGTTTACCAAAAGGAAAACATCTCAGATTTCTTAGATTTTTAAAAACTGATTTATGTTGTGATAGACCAAGGATGAATAATTGCATCCAACTAATAAGATGTACAAAAGGTTTGATATATGATCAACTATTGTTTTCAATTATATTTACTAGCAGATTTTTTCTTTAAAATTATCAAAATGGTTTATTTCTGATCAAAATATTCATTGATGCTTTATATTTCAGATATCTAAGATGTTAGTCTTCAGTTTTTTTGGAAAACATGCAGAATTCAAAGTAAGTTGTAAAGATAATGTGTCGTTATTATTCTCCGCTGTGTGCATACATTATACAGCATATTAAAAACTGAGAAATACTTTAGAATTAAACTGGTCAAAATGAAGCATCTTCTGATCTGAAAAGAAAAAGGGAAGGGAGGGGAGAAAAGGCAGGGCAGGGAAGGGAAGGAGGAAGTTAGTAGAGCATGTGCTTTACTTGCATTACAGATCTCACCACCAAATGGGTCTAGCTTCTGTGTGCAACCATCTTCTTAAAGGAAGTGGTTCCTGACTCCACCCTTTGGTGATTGTCTGGTCAGGTATCCAACCTCTCTAATACTATCTCTCTCAAATCAATCCCCCTTTCCTAGAAATAAAATAATACAGGATTATTTTATTATTGATCTTGAGATTTTGGCCCTCAAGATCCCTGGACAGTGTGATTTATTTTCTACCACTAGACTGCATCTAACACAGACGCCTGATTTCCCCTCTCTTGTGCTCCTTCTGATACAGCTATAGTGCCTTTATGTGAAGTTACAACATTCTCTGTTCATGTCTTTCCTAGAGTGGTCTGGAATCCTCTAGAAGGTAAACCGAGTGCCTACCCAGTGAGACAGGACAGAAGGCTGACGGGTGATGCACCCACAGGACTCAGCCACCCTGCTCTTCTGGCCGAAAAGTGGGCCTCTGCCACACAAAGAAAGCAAGTGGTTCATTGTCCCAGGCCTTCTCAGCAGAAATGCCAAGGAGAAGACAAAGAACCAAATCCTTGAGGTGGTATAGCTAACTGCCAGTCGGTCTCTTTTGCCTTCAGAGGGCTAGCGATGGTGGCAGAGCCAAGCCTGCAGTTACATGCCTCCTTGCTGCCAACCCGCAGGATAAAGGAATGTAACCCCAAAGGATTTTTCTGTGGCTACTGACAAGCTGCCCTGATTAACGTCTTTCATACAGTGTGGCAGGTCTCATCTTAGAGCTGTCTTCAAGCAGCTCCTAGGAGAGCAAAGCGAACGAGTCTCTTCCTGAGGTGCTGGGAATAGAACTCAAGGCCTTATGCATGCTAGGCCTGTGCTATACCCACAACCTCCTCCCTCCCAAAGGGCCATTTCTTAAGGTCAAGAAACATACCTCCATGATGCTTGATTACATGTCTCGATCTATGAGAAAAGAAAATGGAAAGAAAAAAAAGCATTTTTACTTTTATAGTGCTAAGTACTAACAGACATCCAGAGGTGTTACAGTAAGACTGGTAGAATAAATAGATTGTTGTTGCTAGCCTTGAGGACTTGTTGACAACTACCCAGAGATCCACCCGTGTCTACAATCTTCAGTGCCACACCTAGCCAAGGTACTGGAGCAGTCCAGAATTGTAGCTGCACGAGGGCCGGGATTGCAGGCCAAGGCCTGTACCTCCCGGATGTGCTCTTTGGCACTTTGTGTGTGCCGGGCTGCCAGGAAAACTGGAGGAAGCCACAGTAAGAAGTCTAGGACAGCGGGTGCTGCTTCTGCTTCCTGCTCTCGCAGCAGTGAACTACCCAGCATGCTCCCCTGATCGCAGCAGTGAACTACCCAGCATGCTCCACTGATCAGTGCTTTGGAGGTAGTCCCCAACAATCTCAGTATGCAAATTTTTGAAATAGCAAAGCAGTTTTAGGCCGCGACTCAACACAGATAGAGCTTCCAGAAACTAAGGAAGAGCGTGAAGACTCACCCCAGTTGACGACTTTGGGTTCTTTCAGAGTGGTGTGTGTAACTCTGCAGGCATATTTGTCGTTCGCATTGGGTACGAACTCAGTGTGAGCCAGGAGATAGAAAGACCAGTCCTTGTTGAAGGACAGATCCGACAGCTCGATGTTCTCTATCTTCTTGCCATTCTTCAGCAGTTCTATTTCAATTTGGGGCGGATGAAACTGCGACACGTAGCAGTTCAGGAAGTTTGATTTCCCGTTCTCTGCCGGGTGCCTTGTGTACACTTGCACTTGTGGGGGACCTAAGGATCACAGGGAAGGACAGATGACAACTGCTGGGCCTTTCCCCTTGGAACCAACTGCATCTCAGTCTACACTGTGCCCCGTGCTACATTTGGTCATCTATTCCTCCCCCTTCCGTTTCTGCTCTGGCAGGTGATCTTACTGCTTCCCCGAAAGGCTACCTACGTAGAACTACATCATGGCTTACTACCTTTTCCTGGAAATCCTGTACAGGCCTTTGGTTTTTCCTACCTGGCTTGTAGACTGCTGGAGTTTTAAGAAGCTTCTATTGGAGGCTCTCAAGAACTGCTCATCCCTTCCTTTAATAAATCCCATGGCGCACGTACTTTCCAAATTCCACGCCTCATCCCGCACACCCTCTGCTGTGTCCACAGCACCGCACCTGTGTCCTCATCTGCTGCGCCAGTCCCTCTCACTTCCCCGGTTTTTATCGCCTTCCTTTTTGCTTATTGCCCCTCACTAGACTCCCTGGCCTGTATTGTCTGCTACAGAGCTGAAAGCTGAGCATTGCCCCTCAGGCAGCAGGATTAGGATTATCTCCTCCCTCCTTAGGTTCCTATGCCAGTCAGTCCAGGGGCCAATCCGGCCAAGACACAATCTCTCTGTTCCAGTCTAGAGTTTAAAACAAGAAAAAGCTCTGATTTCATGAACTAAAAACGAACGATATTTAAATATCTACAGAAGCTAGCAAAACTTTAAGTGGTTGAGCTGGGATGGGTAAAACTAGGTAGGGAGAAGTGAGGGCTGTGATGAAGAGGAATATGTGTGTGTGTGTGTGTGTGTGTGTGTGTGTGTGTGTATTCCATTAGAACTGAGTGGAGCAAATGGACACGGAAGTAGAACATGCATTTCTAGTCAGCGCTTTCAGATGGCTGCCCAAACTAGACATGACAACATAGGGGCATGGAAAGAAAATACTATAAACTCGTTCTAATTGTTATTTGTATGTGTGTGTGTGTGTGTGCGCGCGTGCGTGCGTGTGTGTGTGACTGTGCGTGTATGAGCACCATAGCTTTTGTGTGGATTTAAGAGTCCGTTCTCTCCACCCACTAACTGGAATCTGAGATCAAACTCAGGCGTAGTGGCAAGTGTCTCTGCCCGCCGAACCATTTCACTGACTCTTCTGTGTTTGCCCCAGCTAACTCTCTAGCTATCTTTCTGAGAAAAAGTCTTCTCTGTCACCAGACTGGCCTCAAACTCTTGCCTCAGCTGCCCCAGGACTGAGATTCCCGGCATGAGTCAGGACACCTGCCTTATAATATACACATATATTCAGAGTACATGGTCTCTAAAGGGCAGCTGTTTATCCACATAGAGAAGGCAGCAGGAAGAAGGAGGAGCCTCTGGGAACTGTGGTCAGCTGAATGTGTCTAGAAGCCCTGTCAAGAACTAGAGTTAAGGTTTCAGTGAAGCTTTAAGTAATTTTCCTGTAGTTAGAGTGAAGATAAGCCGGAAAGCTCCTTGCATTTGAGGTTTTAGTAACAAGAATAATAATTGCCACAGAGGTCAGAGGCCAGGTTCATCCGGCCTGGAAATCTCTAGGAAACAACGATCTCTTCTTGGACAGCTAAGGCAAGTGCTGGGCCAGGTTTGAACCTGGGCTCTGCCACTTTTCTACCTCTATGACTTCGTAATTTGTTTATCCTCAAGAGTCTTGGTAACTATGCTGAATTATCTTTACCCCAGCGTTCACAGCCTCCCTAACTTTGATAAACTTTCCGTTTTCAAAACTGAAAGTAGATATTCTATGTATCTTGGAAAGAACCAGGCAGTGTGCCAAAAAGGAACGCCTTTGTGAAAGACCAAAGGCCCAAGGCAGCCCAGCATGGTTAGCGGACTATGACCCAGGAAGGCCAGGAGCACTTCTAGAAACAAATGGGGCTTACAACCAAAAGGGCTTCTTTTACCCCAGATGGCATAAATCAACCTCACTTCCTAATCCCAACTGCCATTAACCCCTTGTGTGAATAAATTACTTAAAAATCTCGATGCCTCGCGTTCCCCAAACAAGGAACCATAATGTTTACATGGTAGGCGCAGTTTCAAAGTTATAAACCACGCAGCGTCCTCAGCATTACAATAAACTGTCATACCCAGCAGCCTATATGATTATTTTTAAAATTTAAAACATTAATGAGACAAGGTAAGTTAACGGTCAGAAAGCTTTGGAAACAGCAGAGCTGGGACCCACGCCCATCTCTCTAGACTTTGGCTCCGCGGGGTCCCAGGCGCCTTTAAAGTGCAAAGACAGCTGGGCGGCCACGGTCTGACTTCCCGGGTTCCCCGGGTCCCAGCCCTGGCTTCCAGGCGTTCAAGGCTCTCTATTCCGCACCTTCGGAGCAGGCCCACCCTCTCCCTGAGATCAGGGAGTCTGAGGGTTCCGGCAGGTAAAGAGCAGGAGAGAAAGTTTTCCTACCTCCAGCGCTGACTGTTCGTCAACCCAGTCGCAAACCGGCGGCATCCACACCGCTGCCTTAAAGCGGCAACAAGGAGGCGGCGGGACCCCCACCCCTTCCTCGGGAGACCCAACCCTAGCTAATTCTGTTGGGACAGAGAACTAAGGAGAAATTAAAATTAACTCCAGGAGAGAAGAAAGAGGCACTCACGCTGGATGGCATCCAAGCAAGCTAGGGAGCCAAGCATCAGAAAGACCACGACCACGGAGCGAGCCATTCTGCGCGCTGAGCTGGAGCGAATGGGTGCCGCCCGGTGCTGGGCGCGCACTCTTATAGTCCCCACAGCCGCAGCCAATCGAGACTCAGATCCGGAGGCCGTCACCAGTCTCCTAGCTAGTGACGCTGAACTAGGTTAAAGAGGGACTTTCCCATTTTCAGTTTCATGTTCTTATAAAGTCCCGTGATGCTTGGAATAGCCGGGGCTGGACCCTTCGCACCCTGCGATCGGGGTGTGCTTCTGAACTTGGTGTACGGATTTCTGGCTGATTCCGCTCCATTCGTTCTAATGCCAAAAGTACCCCAGTCAGAGAAGAGCTTAGGGCCTGAAGTTTTCATTCTTGAAAAGTAAAGCCAGACTCTTAAGAGCATTAGCTGGCAGAACTCAATCAAACCTTGGGTTTATTTATAAATCCAGCCCAGGAATTCAAATGAGGTTTCAGGATTCCCTGTCAAAGACCCTCCTGCCCTAAGGGCAGCTCGGAGAATCTCTCTTGCTTCTCCCAGGTTTCTCCTTTGAGAGTTTTGGGAGCACGTCCTCGTTGCTAAATTTAGGTAAATTTCAGTTCTGTTTGTAGGTTTGGGGGGAAGACAACGGCTTAGAGCTCTGAGTTTCCAGACCATTCTCTTGGTAGTACCGCCCTAGAACAGTGTGGTAAACTGAGTGGAAAAAGAAGTGACCTGAGTCCACGAATAAATTTTTTTTTTCTGGATGGGGACGATAAAACTGAGAGACGTTCCCTTGGGGGTCCTGTTTTATCCGCTTGGAAGACAAAGGCAATTTTATTCAGAATGTTTATTACATCAGCTATGGACCCATCAAGGAAGTTAAACTCCTGGCCAGAAGCGCGCATGACAGAGACAAGCAGCGACCGCCTGGGTGCTGGAGACACTGCCGCCTCAAGCAGCCAAGTAGAAACAGCTTTAGTGAGCGAACAGTAGGAAGCGGAAGTGGAGCAAAGGGTCTCTGGAATTTACCGTAGCGACTTTGGGTTGGGCTTCCCCAAGGAGCACATAATTTCTGGATTTCTTTGACATGTTTTTAAAACCATTAACAATCTCTAATGTGGAGCCCGTGTCTAAACTAGAGAAAACAGAATATTCTCCACGGACCTTAATGAGGTAATAAACAGATACCCACTCCTACAGTGCCGACCCAACGCACAGTATTTTTATCCAGTAATGTTTAAAGATCATAACTATTAGTTATTTTTGCCATCCCTTTCTGTAAGTCTGAAATATAAGAATAATTGTTATGCATAAAAACATGACTTAAGATACTTTTCTTCATCTAGTTTTAAAAAACTCATTAACACATTTAAGATATGAACTAAATGTTAAATTATACTAAACACGTTAGTGTTGAATTAATTTACTAGAAGATGCTTTAGGAAGCTAGAAAACTACAGGGCTTTTTTTGGTTTCGTTTTGTTCCTAGTTTACTATATCACAGAAAATTACTACATTTAAGTTCATTGGAGATAGAGTCTTTTCTACTCACATATAAGCCCAACTTAAAAGTAGAAAGAAAGAAGTCTCAGGAGGGAAGCTGAGAGAGGTGCACACATTCCAGTCCCAGGTCCTGGAAAAGCTGAGGGAAGGATTGCTCAGGCCAGAAGTTCAAGACCAGTCTGGACTATAAGGTCTTATCTCAAACAAAGAAGAGTCAGAGGATGGAGAAGTATTTTCAGTTTTCTACATGTGGGGACTCCTACTGATGACACGTCTGGACAGTACGACTGAAAGGGAAGGAAAACTATTGTTCAAACGATGAGTGCTGGTGAGGTTGCCCTCAAGCCTGACAACCAAGTTCAATCCCTGGGACCCATCTGGGAGAGAATCAGCTCTGCAAGCTGTCCTCCGACCTCTACACACACACACACACACACACACACACACACACACACACATTTACACATCCACACACTCAGTCAACAAATAAATAGAAAAGACAAGAACCCTGTGTGTCTAAGAGAACCGACTTTGGGAATCCATAAACATGACAATTTAATAGTATAATCTCTCTGGAGACTAATTAACTGATGGGTTTTTTTCTTGCTACATGATTGCCTAAAAGATTTTTGCAATCAATACTTCAAGATAGTAAATATTGGAAAGAATTCTTTCAGAAGAACTAGAGTTTTTATGCACTCCTGGTAGCAATGTAAACGGTGTAAGCATTTTAGAAAACAATATAACAGTTTTATTTCAAGCAAAACATTTTGGGGCTAGGGAGATGGGTCAGTGTTTAACAGCAATTGTTGCTCTTGCAGAAGATTGGGGCTCAGTTCCTAGAAACCATAGGTAACTGACAGTGCTCTGTAACCCCAGTTTTAGGGGATCCAAGGAGCATGTACATGGGACACATACACGCATGCAGATAAAATGTCCATACAAACAAAGCAAAGTAAGTCTAAATAAGTTTTTAATTAAATAGAATGGACCATTAGATCTAGTCTCTGTCCTCAGGTGTTTTCCAGAGAGAAAACAAAAGCATATGTTATACAACGACTTGTACATGAACATTCACAGCAGCTTTGTTTGAAAAAACCTGTAGACCAGCTGGGCAGTGCTGGTGCACACCCTTAATCTCAGCACCCCAAGGCAGAGGCGGGCAAATCTCTGTGATTTCAAGGTCAGCCTGGTTCACAGAGTGAGTTCCAGGACAGCCAGGGCTACAGAGAGAGGCCTTGTCTTGAAAAACTAAAATAAATAAATAAGTAAAGCTGTAAACCAGAAATAATCCAGATAACCACCAACAGATACAAATTTTGTGGTGCAGCTCTGTTGATGGAATACTACCAAGAACAGATGAGAAATCAACTAACAATACAAGAGCATGAATCAAATAATAATTCTGAAAGAAGCCAGATAGAAGGATGTACTCTGCATGAGTCTGCTTATTTAACTTACAAAGGTACAGTAGTCTGTAGTGACAGAAAGCAGGAGAGCGGTTCCCAGGGTACAGAGGGGGCCTCAGAAGAAGGAGTAAGTGTTGGCGGTGAAAACTGTTATTCAGAGTTCGATGGGGTTTTACAGACGTGCTCTTAAATCACTATTTGCCATATACTTTAATATACTTACAGTATATTACTTATTATGGTTACAAAAGGTAAACCCTGCGGCTGGGGAGATGGCCCAGTGGTTAAGAGCACCTACTGCTCTTTCAGAGCATGGGATTTACAACCCAGCACCCACTCTGTTAACTTCAAGTCCAAGAAATCTGACGCCCCACTCTGGCCTTTGTAGGCACAGGTGTACACACACACACATGTACACACACACACACACACACACACACACTAAATAAATAAATAAATAAATAAACGCTTAAAAGAAAGACAAACTCTGATAAGCACAGATACTTATTGCTAAATTTAAAAAAAAAAGAACAAAGTACTTGGAAAGAAAGAAAAGTAAGATATCAAAGTGAGAGACAGGAACAGGTTAAGTTCATGTGAGGGGACCTCTCTCAGCAGTTTTCTGAGACAGGTTTGTGTACACAGCAGGTCCACTAGAAACAATAGGGTGTTTTGCTGAGATCTTTCCAATGTTGTCCTCAGTCCCTTGCTAGTCAAAACATGACCTAACAGCAGCACCGACAATATCTAGGAGCACTTAGACATGCTGGCTCTTGGGTCCATCTCAGACAAACTGTAGCAAAATCCCCCTTTAACAGCATCCCAGATGACTCATACATATACCACGAATGTGAAACTGCTGACCCAAACCATACGACTGTTCTGAAGGTGGACATTTTTATTTATAAATAAGAAAATTGAAACAGGGATAGCACATATATAGGGAGAAGAAGTTCTTCAAAATTGGGATAATTTCATGTATGTCCATTGAATTTGCTTGTTTTCATATGAACAAAATGTAGGTAGCTTCCATGTTGTTCTGTTAACAGGGGTCCTTTTGTTCAGGCAGGAATGTCATTCCCATTATCAAAGGCTAGTGGGCTAGCCTGCCAGGGTCAGAGACATATTCCTCCAAGCTCTGAGAACTAGAGATTTTGTTCTAGAGCCTGGAGTCACACATTGGAGGCTGAGAGCTCTGGGTGTCATGATGGAGCTTAAGGCTCTGGGTTTTGATTGTCGAAGGCCATGTACTCAGCACCTAATGAAACCGTTGGCTTGCAGCAGCAGCAGTCAGTGAGTCAATCAGTCAGTCAGTCAGTCAGTCCGTCCCCAGCAGGTCCCAGAAGCCCCCAGCAGCCGGTGTTAAGGTTCCTAAACCTTTGATATGGGGATCCTCAGCCTAGAACTCCTCTGGTGACCAGGACTCCCAATCCCTCATCTTCAGCAACTCAACTTTTCACCTTCTGTATCATCTGAGTTGGGGTTTTCACTGCTGTGAAGAGGCACTATAACCATGGCAACTCTTATGAAGGAAACATTTAATTGTAGTGGCTTGCTTACAGTTCAGAGGTTCAGTCCTCGTGGTGGAGAGCATGGGAGTATGCTGGCAGGCATGGTCCTGGAGAAATAGTCAAGTGTCCTTATATCTTGCAAACAAGAAGTCAATTGAGTTACTGGGCAGTATTCTGAATACATGAAACCTCAAAGCCCGCCCCCACAGTGACACATGTAGACAGACTTTTCTTTCCCACCCAACAGTTCCCAAATAACTTACATGGAAACTTAAATAAATTATAAATGTTCATCTGATAGCTCAGGTTTATTACTAACTAGCCCTTACAACTTAAATCAACTCGATTTCTTATCTAAATTCTACCACACGGCTTATGGCTTGTTAGCTCATTTTTTTTACATGTCCTGCTTCTTCTGTGTCTGGCTGGTGACTCTGTGAGTCTGCCCTTCTTCTTCCCAGTCTGTCTCTCCCGCCCAATCTCTCCTGCCCATCTATAAGCCAGTCGGCTCTTTGTTAACCAAAGGGAACAATAACATTTACAGTACAAAGACTGCTGCACAGCAGACATATTTCCTCCAGAACGTGTGGACCAGATTAAGGGTATGTATCATTCAGCCTGCTCCAACAAGACCACATATCCTCCAACTTCCTCCTAATAGCGCCACTCCCTATGAGCTTATGGTGGCCAAACA